TTTGGACCTAAAAAAGAACATTACAATTTATTTATTTTTTAAAATATTTTTAATTTTAATTTCATAGCATGTCCACTGTGGAGGACAACAGGACGATTTGCATGGGAAAATAGAACAGGCTTTAGATAATTAAATAATAAAAAAGATGTCTTGAAAGGGATATTTACCTAAGAACTCTTAGGAAAAAAGTAAAGTTCCCAGCATGCAAAGCTATCACATGACACATCACTGGAAAGCCCAGGATGTCCTCTACAGAACACTATAGGGCTGATAGGGTAACTCCAGATACTTAGGGGGGGTACAGGTGGACAAAATATCCACTATAATGGACATAAATTAATGGGCCGGGTCTCAGGAGGATAAATGTATATATTTGTTAACGATAAAAAAAAAAAATAATAATTGGGGAGCTCATGCTGTGTCTGCCCACCCCCCCCCCCCCCCCCCCCCAGAGAGACCAAATGTACGCCGCCCAAGAGATGTTCAAGACCGCCAACAAGGTGACCCGACCCGAGAAGGCGCTCATCCTGGGCTTCATGGCTGGATCCAGAGGTATGGGGGGGGGGGGTAATACAGTTACACACTGTATTAACAATTTGTCAAAGTACAAAAACATAGAAAACATGTTTTAAACCATAATATGGAACAAATAAAATCTCATCTCAGAGATGTGGAGCCATCCAGCTGTGAAACAAACTGAACCCGATTTGGTTTTCAGTCGATTCTCTCCGTTTCTATTGGAGGATTTTTTTCACCAAAACCAGGGCTGTCTGGCTCTAATTGGTTCTTCTCAGTTCTGCTCGGTTCTGATTGGTTCTTCTCAGTTCTGATTGTATCTTCTCAGTTCTGCTTGGTTCTGATTGGTTCTAGGCACGTCCCGATCCACCTTTTTTCACTTCCGATCTGATCCCGATTCTCATAGGCCGATCCCGGCCTATCAGAACATGTGTTAAAGTTTATAGTTATTTATCTACTTACTTAGTTGTCAGACTCATGTTGAACATGGATTTACTCTAACAACTTAATGGTTAGGACACAGACCTGTGGGTCAGCAGATGCTAATGCTAATGCTAATGTGGGATCGGACTGGATCTGGACTCTGGATCCCCATTTTCTCAGCCGATATGCATTTTTTTGCGAATATCAGCGGCCGATCCGATCCAGATATCGGATCGGGACCGGCCTAGTTGGTTCTAGGCCGGGTTCCCCTCTGAGAACCGCCCCGTTTCTTTGCAGAGAACCCGTGTCCGGAGCAGGGCGACATCATCCAGATCAAGCTGAGCGAGCACACGGAGGTTCTGCCCAAGGCCGACGGCACCGGCAGCACCACCATGCTGGTGGACACCGTCTTCGAAATGAACTATTCCACAGGACAGTGGACGCGCCTCAAGAAGTACAAACCCATCACCAACACGTCCTGAGCCCCCCCCCACCACTACACACACACACACACACACTCACACACACACTTACTCACACACACACCTGGGCCAAAGCGAGCTCTGGGAGGCT